CTTCCGCGATGATATGTTAGTATGATATCCGTCCGGAAGGATAAAAAGTGACTGACTTGTACATTGACTGGGAGGATAAACTGACTGAACTGCACACTGGCTGACCATGCAGCTCATTGTAAAGGCCACGCGCTCGCCCAGCCATTGCCATCCCATTGGAGCCCAACGTACGCTGCATCCCGAGGGGGGTCCGATCAACGACGCCGGATTTACCCTTCCTCGGGAAATGCAATGGGAATGAAGTGGAGGGACATCGAGGCGATTTCACATCCGACTTTCCTGTCAAAAGGCACATTTCCCGCACTTGATGGTGGATCCCCCTTCCACCAGGTACTTCTGTGGTCAGTCGTAGAGCATGTGGGACTTTTCGGAAGTGCACAGGAAGCGGGCTGTTACCTCATGGTTCAGTCTCCCGTACAGTCGAGGTTGCAATGCGCCGTGTACATCCAGCCAACACCTTCCCTATCCCCCCCCACTCGTCCCCTACCCAGAACCTCGCGTAGTCGTGGCTTTCCCGAAAGTGTACCATCAATTCTTATCACTCATTATCACTCTTTCACCTTGCTACCTTACAAACACACTCATCGACTTCGCGATTGCGAATAGTGAGAAGTGGAGTATATAAAGGAAGGATGTGCGACTGCCAACTAACAAGTCAGTAAAAATTATTAAAAATAGTTGAATGTAACCTAAATAAGACCCCTGTTGGTTTCAACTTCCGCACGTAACATATGCTGAAGACATACTGAGCGTGTAAAAAGAAAAAGATGGCGAGAATACAAAGTTGAACGAGATCGCATCGCCACACAGCTATGAGAAAAGAAATGCAAACGGCGGTAACTCACCTCAGTGGGCGGGGTTGGACCTTTGCAGAGAGCTCTGACGACACTGCCACTCGATGGGCCGCCAAAGTAGAGCATCCAGTGCAACTAAGGACCACGCCACCTTGTGCAAGAGGAGGGATTCCGCACACCAGACAAACACGCATCCTTTCCTGAAATTCGTGACTTTCTGGAAGTTTATACCAAAATCGAGTAATTCATCCACTCACGGCTTACTCCAAGTACCTACTGCACAAGTACAACTTCTCAGCAGGGATAGAGCCTTTTCAGTCCCACCTCGAGTACTGTAGTTGAAATATTAATGTTTCTAGCGAAATTCAGTCTGAAAGCAATATTCCAGGGTGATAAGTAATAAGTACCGCCGAGTAGCATTGAAAGTTTCAAAGTAGCGGCCAATAGAGAATGGGATTGAGATATATTACGGTATAATTAAGGGATATGCTGAAGTTAAGATCTCTGAAGGTCATATTTCTGGCGGCGTGATAGCCTCAAAGGGATTTCGAGTTCCGCGGAAGGTGTCAGGCGATGATCCTCGAACTGGTTCATGTTTCCCACATGGAGTACCGACGCTTCGATCATATGCAAGGCTGTTCACCGCACCCATAATAGGAGTTTGTGGTTCGCCTCGTGACCGTTAATGATCGTGGTAGGCAGGTTTTACAGACGGAAAAACAATGCTCGTATCATCAGCTTCTATTTAAAGCGCTTGAAACTTAATGTCCGCTTTATCACCCTCAGAAACCTCGCCAAGAGACTACTCCTCAACTGTTCATCATTACCAGTTCTCAATTTTTCCTATTTAATTCACTCTTCTTATTTCCTTGGGCTCGAATAGCCACATTGTGCCCTTCAGCGTAGGGCTGCCCGAAACGCTCACATGTACAGTGTCTAAGAGACGTGACATCCTTTGCGAATATGGTAGGACCCATGGAAATATCGGACGGTCAAGCCGAGGTGGTGTACTAGCGAGTGGCACGCTTACCACCGCGCGGTCTGGGTTGAAATCCCGGATCGGCTCTAGCCTAGACCAAGCAAGCCTTCCTTCCTCCGAGAGCGGCAAATTATCACCAGAAAAGCAGTCCAGCGAAGGAGGGGGGGGGGCATTTTGCACCTTTGCAACCTCTCGTCGATGGGTGAGCCATCTAGAAAGCTATTTCATGAGCTTACAAGAGTTGATAGGTTTTCACCAGCATTGTTGTGTGAAACACATGGAGGGGGCGTCCTTTTGCGCCGGGGAGGAGGAAGGGTTGTATTTGGTGGGAGAGGGAGGGGGGTCGCAAGTGCCATTACGAGATTTGCAGCGTGTGGGAAAAATTTTCGCTGGTGCTGATATTTCTGCTGATTTGTCGCTGAATTTTTCCGCTCAGTGTATATATGCCGCCGAATCTCCCCCCCCACACTTCGACAGCAAAAGCTTTGAGAAAAAGGTAGGAAAATCTCCGCGAAAAATTCGGAATTAGTGGGTAGTGAGTCTGGAATAAACTACAAATTTGATATTTTCGCACTTCCCACATTGGCCTATATTCCGAAGTGGGACCCTCGCGACTCCCATTTAGTTGGAGAACACCCTGTTCACGGCGTAGGTGGGTGAAAACCTGAAACGGCAACCGACCGCTTCTAATTAAGCCACCATAAATTGCAGGCAGAGTAAAAACGCAGGCGCATCCAAGAATAGAATGATTGCAACGTGGGGAACTTTATCTTTCTCGTTTATCAGCCTAATTTTCCTCCAAATAACCTGAAATCAAGCGAGCAAAGGAGAAAACTTGTGGGTTTAGCTGATTTTCCATTTCATTCCCGCAGGCTCCTATTTCCCCACCCCCAAGAAACCCACGTTCTCTTTCCTATCAGAGAATTTCTTCCGCACATTTCTAGTCCTTCACTGCTCTTACAAACCTGTAGCGATAACAAATGACTGAATTGTTGAATCTTCGGCAGAGTGCGTAAAGCGGTCATAATCACAGTTGGCTGAAAGACCGAATAGGGAGGCACAGCTGTAACAACAACACTTCAACCCTTCTCAAAGTGCTTACATAGTCCACAAGAGATCGTAAAAGCATTTTAAATGCGTTCGGTCATACAAGACTTGCAGAGCCAGTTTGAATCGCAAGTTGGTGTTTTTTATAGGCCCAGATGGATCTTATACCCATTAAGCGATCCCGTAAAGATGTAGGGCCTGGTTGCAATGGAATGGATTCGATGCGGGATTCCAGCCGCGTATCACTCCTGCAGGAAGGCACCTAGCGCCACGGCACTTCCTGCCGTTGGGGATGAATTTTGCAAGATACAACTCCCTCCTTCCAGCAACCATATATGCTCCCCCCTCGCTGAGGCTCCCTCAGGCTGCGTTCATAGCTTAGGGAAGCGTCCATCAGCGTCCGCCTGCGAACATCAGTGTGCGGAGCGCAATTAGCGTCAGCTCAGGAATGTATAGATGTTAGTCTCTATCAAACGGCAACGTCTATCAGCGTATCTATCAGCGGTGCACCCAGCGTCGCAGCTACCATCAGATACTAGAGGGAGGTACGGAAAGTATGATCGTTGCGTAATCAGCTGTGCACTAGCGATCATCTAGGTCCGCCAGGCGACCAGGAAGTACGGCACTGCTTAGTATTACCGGTTTGCGTTTGCACAAGCTGCCAATCGTTCGGGGACGCTCAAATTTTCTAGCTGTTTCCTTCTTCCTATCTGACCCCACACTCTTTATCATTAGACCGCTTGTGGACCACTGGTAGACGTTGGGTAGCGAGCGCTCACCCCCCGCCCCCTCTCGATATCCATACTTTCCTAGTCCCTCGAGGCGCTGTTGATCGCTGGCGGACGTTGCCGCAAAGTATGAAGGCAGCTTAACGTACGACGTGACGCGCTTCGGCAGACAACGCAAACGGCAGCGTCTACCAGCGTCTATCAACGTGCACCAGCGTCCGCCAGCTGAGATCAGCTATGGGCCGAAGAAATGTTATGGCTATGCGACCAGTGTCTATCAGCTGTCCACTACGACACACCAGCGACCAGTGTAGTACGGTACTGTTATAGTAGTTACGGCTGCTTGTCACACGCCATCAATTTTCACGACGCCCTAATCCAGTTGTCTCTTTCATCCTACTTCCCAACCTCCTTGTACTCCTAGTCCGGTTGGTTTTTAGACGCTCGCGTAGACGCTAGCTCGATATCCGTACTTTCCCTCCAGGCGCTGATAATCGCTGGCGGACGCTGCCGCAAAGTATGAACGCAGCTTAACACGACGTGCCGCGCTTGTCGCTGCAGAAGCTCTCTTAGGATTAGATACTTTGGGGCAAAAACAACCAACAATATCAGATGCTTCGAAAGCTTGACCCTGGGCCAGCATTTTCTACCTCTCCAGAACTTCTCATTCAAAGGTCGGCCTTGAATTAGATCGCTGAGGCCAACTAGGAGGTCCGCGTTGCGACGGCGACGGCGAATAGGCGTTACAAGCAGCGTGATACGCACGACAATCGCACCAGGACTCTAAGCGTCGTCGCAGTTAGGACCTCCTAGCCCGCACAATCGCAGGAATTCTTGAGCATCCTATACGGCCTTCTTTCAGATGCGATTTTTTATACTCTCAGTCACCTCCGTTCTGACAGCATTAGTGACGTTGTTTAGCGTTTGTATGGCCCTATACATGGTCATAGATATCGGCGATTTCTACGATCGCATCACTCGCGACCTCAAAGACTTCAAAGTAAGTGGGCTTCACCTGAAAAGAGGTTAACCGGTCACTCAATCCCGAACTTTTCAGGCACTCGAAATCGCCGCATGGCGCGAAATTCGGACCGATTCCGACCGTTGTCCGAAGGAAGCGACATAGTAAAGGGGGCTCACAATGCGCCTGCACTTTGACGGCTAAGAACTGCCCTACAGGACCACCTGGACAACCAGGACCACCTGGTCCTCCTGGGTATGACGGTGTTGATGGAATACCGGGTCAAAAAGGAATTGATGGAGAAGATTCCTTTTTTGAACGCGTGAAAACAAGTGGTTGTGTATTATGCCCACCAGGTCCTCCTGGACCCCCAGGGCTGGATGGACCGACAGGACCAAAAGGACCAGTTGGCCTGGCTGGACTTCCTGGTGAATGGCCCAAGATCTTGAACGGCCCACCAGGACTTGTCGGGCCACCTGGAGATTCTGGGTTGCCTGGCATACCAGGTTTACCAGGTAAGCGTGGCCTACCAGGGAAATCCATTCGCAACTGGATTGTACAGGGGATTACTGGTCCTCCTGGCCCTCCAGGATTACCTGGTCGCCCAGGCAAAGCCGGCTGGCCAGGAATACCTGGATCAGAAGGGAGAATCGGAGATGCGGGGCAGAGCGGGCTTCCGGGCTATCCTGGAGAAGATGGATTGCAAGGGCTGCCGGGTAAGCCTGCTCCGCCTGGAAAGAATGGCGGATATTGTCCTTGTCCGCGCCCTTCGAAGAAACATAAAATAAGGCACCGCACCCGTTTTGTATCACGATCGAAAAAGCACCGGTCGGAATGGAGCACAAAGCGCACGAGGAAGTCTTTTTTGGTAGAGGACTAAACCTCTAGATTCTTCAAGGCAATGATCTCGTCTCACCATTGGACCTCTCACCGTAATCGCAAGTCTTGCTGCAGTGATAGGGCCAAATGAACGTCACAGAAGCTCAATACAGGATCGCGTATAAGTCAGATGCCATAGTTATTTGAATCTATTCGTCATACATTTAGAATCTATCAAATTAACACATCGAGAGTATAACAGGTCTAATACACGTGCGGTTGCGGCGCGTAGTGGACTTGCAAGGTCCGCAACCGCAAGCGTCCCTGTGGATAAAAGTTCATTTTTTTCAGGTGATTCGTTATGCATGAAAAATCATGTAATCTTGTAATCGTTCTGTGAAACTAGACCTGATATGTGTGCGGTAGCGAGGCGTGCTAGGTTAGCCATATCACAGAGCTTCTTAACCGCACGCGTCTCATAGAGGTAGTCTCAGACCCGACAATCTGGACTCGTAGTCGTGCAGAAGACGGCTATTTATCGATAGGCTCCACATTCCCCCGTGCGCACAAGCTAGCACAATATTTCCTGTTCAGATGCCTTGATACATCGCTGCCCGTTAAACGGATTGGGTCCTGGCGCGAAAGCTGCACACGCGACTCACCATGCCACGCCCTTCTTGCAGCTCTCACAGTAAGGTGGAACTAACGGTTGCACGCGTAAAAGACAACATGCGGTTTCAACGGTAGTCAAAGTGGACGGGTATGCCGCAAATACGCGTCGCAGCCGCACGCAGCTGGTGTCGGTACGAACCAAACACAGTCCTTCACACATTCCGAGCCAACTACATGATAAAGTAAAAGACAGCACACTGATTATCGCTTGCAACGCATATTATTTGGCCACCGTGCGCCACGCCGCAACCGCACGCGTCCCATTGCAGTGTTCTCAGATTCGACGACTTGAACAGTAAAAATACGTTTTTCTTAGATATACCGTTGTAAAACATTGTCATTTGATGTAGTGTACGTTGACTAGATGAATAAATAATTTATTTATGATAGTGAAGTTATCAGTGAACATCACCAATTTGAGAGTACCTGAACACCAGCATTGTAGTGGAAGAAACCGCTTAGCAAAGATCTATAGACACGTAGATAAAACTGGTGACATATCCAGGCGACAAATTTGAAAAAATAGTGATAATTGTAGCTGAAAAGACGAGAAGGCGATGATTGGCGTAATCAGTTTGTTTGCATGGTTTCCACTTCTTTCGTTTGTTCCACTATATTCTCCTTTTCCTCCTTCAGTTCCGGATATTCCTTTACTATGCGCGGCCCATAGAGTAGCACATAAGCACAATGCCAGTCACCTCCACCCGACAACCTCAGCACCTAAAAAATCTCACTTCATCACTGGGAATAATTGTCGGTAGATGCAGCACCCCCCCCCTCCCTCCACACTAGTGTTCGCTCAAGTGCACAGTCCATGCTGATGGTGTAGGCGGAGTCAGATGTACCGTCCCGCCTTCCTCACTGCTTTAAGGGGAGATGCGCGCCAATCAAGAAGGCGCAATGGTAGTCACGACTCCGCCCATATCAATTCAATCGCGCAGTACCCGTCAGATTTCGCGATGGCGCGCTGTAGTGTGACTACAACTGCGACAGCCAAAGCTATAAATGCGAACGCAGTGGCAGACCGGAATCGATGGCGCGAACCACCTGTGCTTCGAAGAGTATCCGACTCAGTGTTGCGTAACACGAAACGGTATTTGAGCATGACTGTCTGCGGTTGTGTATACGCTCGACCGATATCAGCGCGTCGACGCGGTCTTCGCGATGCTCGAACGGCGCCGCATAGTGGATGACAAACGATCAAATGACGCAAATCCACCCTTAACAACTATGAAACATCCAGGGGCTCAGAAATAAGCCGCGTCGCGTGCGCGTCAAATGCATCACAGTCTGTAGAATGACAGAAGCAACTCTGACAACGCGTGAGACCTTAATCCGGATCTCCTGACCCACACACCAAACCAATGTTAGACTGTACCTGATCAGAAGTTACTGGCGACACGTGTTCATCATCACACATGGCCCATTTATCTTCTCCTAAGCGAACCCAAGCGACGTAATGTCCCGAGTTCGATGATCGACCTTTGTGAGTTATGACCGCCTGAAAGCCACGTTCATGACTAAACTGCGCCGCAGAGGCTACAGGAGTTAAGGGGGAGTAAGCGGCGAGCCTAACCGCGACAACTTTACCCGTCTGCACTCTCTGTCTAGGCCTGTTGTAAGAGATCACCATCTCAACGAGAAGGCGCAGACACGCTATCTGTGACAGAGCGCAGACAAGCAGAGAATGAATAGCTCAGTCGTGCTGCCCCTTTCGCAAACGCTCTAAGCTCCCAAGATAAAGAAGGTAAAAGATGTTGAACTGTGAATTATTTTGCTTCTTATAAACATCTCACCTTTAACTCGTAGAATCCGGAGTTATTGCTACCTTCGTCGTCTGGAAATGAAAACGGCAGGGGCTTTCCATCGTCTTCGGCCTCCTGTAGAAAATAAAGACCTAATGTATAGAAACAAACGCATCTACTTCAAACAGCAGCCTTAAAAAACGGGATTGTCGAGTGGGTAGGGCGAAGACCGTCTTCTGTAGCAGAGAGGATGGCTGAAAGAGAAGTGGCGCGCCATATGCGTGTTCCCTGTCCGCCCACCCGGTAATCTCGGACAATGTCTTTGAGGCGGTTATTTTCCGATCAAAAACAGTAAACTAAGCACAAGTATTTATGGCTAATTATTCAGATATTTAGCAGTTCATCTATCCGATAAACGTATTCTGCTAACTAGCCCAATGCACGCACAACTCCCGTGCGGATCAGTATGTTCGCGTTGCTGCGACGCACACAAACTAGTCAGTATTCTTGGCTAGTTGTCTCGACATACTGTAGCGTAGCCAAATCGGTGCTGCCGCGAAGCCACGTCGCCGCAACATAGATCTGCCGAGCTCCATAAGGCAGTGTTTAGACTTCGCGATGACGCGT